ATCCGACTCTTGATTTCTGCTCAGGTCGTGATCTCATGGTCGTGGGATTGAGCCCTGCACTGGGCTCTGCGCTGACAGTGCGGAGCCTGCTTGGGATTCTCCCTCTCCCCTTCCACCGCCCTCACTCTCTCTCTCAAAATAAATAAGTTAAAAAAAGAAAAAAACAGAACACTGTATTGTATATTTGGAAGTTGCTAAGAAAGTAGATCTTAAAAGTCCTCATCCTAAGAAAAAGATTTTTTGTTAACAATGTGAGGTGATGGATGTTAACTAGAATTATTGTGGGAATCATTTTGCAACATACACACATATTGAATCATTGTGTTGTATGCCTGAAACTGATATCTGATATGTCAATTATATCTCAATAATAAAAAAGATGAATAAGTTTTAAGGATCAAATTTACAACGTGCTGATTATTAGCTAATAATAGTGTATTATATACTTGAATGTTGCTAGGAGAGTAGATCTTAAATGTTCCTCACTACAAAAAAGAAATAGTAATTATGTCATAGGAAGGAGGTGTGTTGGTTATGCTATGTTGGTTATCTGTCATATTGCTATATATAAAATGTATCAAGTGAATACATCATACGTCTTAAACTTACACAGTGTTATATGTCAGATGTATCTCTATAAAGTTAGAAAAAAATAACCCCCCCCCAACAAAACCAACCCCCCCCCCCGCCATTTTACGGATTGGAAAAAAGAGACTAAGAAAAATCAAGTAGGGGGGCACCAGGTGGCTCAGTCGGTTAAGCGTCTAACTTTGGCTCAGGTCATGATCTCACGGTTTGTGAGTTCGAGCCCCACATTGGGCTCTGTGCTGACAGCTCGGAGCCTGGAGCCCGCTTCAGATTCTGTGTCTCCCTCTCTCTCTGCCCCTCCCCTGCTCACGGTCTGTCTCTGTCTCTCAATAATAACGTTAAAAAAATTTTTTTTTAAAACAAGAAAAATCAAGTAGGTTATTCAGAGTCTCTGAGCTAGTCTGTGCAAGGGCCAGGATTGGAAGGTCGCTGGGAGGCAGTGACATCTAAGCCTCTGTTACTCCAGGAGCAGGGGAGTTAAGCAGGTGAAATCTGTGTTGGCAGGATTGTATGGGGGATGAGTCAGGAGGGGAGGGGTGTTTCAGGCGAGGGAAAGCCTGTGCAAAGGTCTGCAGCATCTACTCTGTGCCCCACCTGGTAGAGACCAGGCGAGAAGATGGAAACACCATGAGCATCTCAAAGACCAGGGCTATTCTCATTCCCCTGTGTATGTCCATTGTCTGCCCATCGTCAGGTGCACGATGTGGCTCACAAATATTTTTTGGGGCCGGGGAACTTTTGGGGAGTTGCTCAGTGACAAGGAAGAGAGACTGTGCTGGGAAACTTTGCTGTACCCCTTCCTGCCAGCACTTTCCCTTGCGCCTTGGCAGACGTCCCAGGAAAACGGACTCACACCCTTCCCACCAGCCTTAGGATGCTGCCCTTGCCTGAGTTTGGACGTGATGTCCAAAGATCATTCAGCCGGTGTCTCCTGACCTTTTTTGAGGCCACACATGTCTCTGAATAGCTTGGGAGAGTTATTACCTGGAGAAAACACATATGCTGCACCTACATGATTTGACACGGAGTGTCCTGAGGCCTCCCCTGGGAGGTTGCCCTGTGTGGAGCCCGGAACCCCCCCTTCTTCCACCCCTGCCTGGACCCTCTCCCTCTGGACTGTGATATGAGTTGGATCAGATGTCGGTTTGGGAAAACTCGAAACCGGGCTCTGCCTCTATCTCGTGCCGGCCGCTGGGCCTTGAACAGCCCATCCTTCTTCCAAGGTGCTGCTGCCAAGCCAGGGGGCCCCCCTCGCACCCCCCCGGCTCCCCCTCCCTGGGGCCCCTCCCTTCGGTCAGCTTTGCTCCACCCCAGCTCCCCCCTTTCTCTTTTGCTTCTGCCAGCTGCCTGGGGAAATCCAGAGCATCCAGGATCTCCAGTAGGAATGGCCCCCATTCCTGCCCAGGCCTCACCAGCCCCGCCCTCCTTCCCTTCCCCTCCCTTTCCGTACTGTGATGTATGTGATCTTCCTTCCTGTTGTCCCATTGTGCACCTACTTCAAGTGTTGTTTTTAAGAAGCGGGGAGGGGCAGAGAGAGAGAGAGAGGCGGGGGGG